CATCATTGGGATTCTGTACCTTTACATAATAGGTCTTGATTCTCATTTTTCCCCTTGTCCCTGCCCTCCCTTCACCCCCTCCTTTCCCCATTTACAAACACTTTATTTCCATTTTTTTATTTTCTCATATTTTTTTCCTCTCCCTTATTACCTTTCCCCCACCCTTCCCACTTTCCCTACACCTTTAGCCCTTTACTTCCTATTTTACATTATTAATTATCTCATTAGGATCTTGTGTACTATTATAGTTTTTCACACCAGAGAAACTATTCGGTATTTCAGTTAAAGAAATCTCTATAAGAACATTAAAAATAGGGAATCCTAAAATAAAACTAAAGAGGAAAGTAAAAGAGAAAAGGCAATGATGCAAAATTAAAATAATCCTTAATTCTGAAGATGAAAATGGTCATTATTTACAGAATACTTTATTAGTTTCTGTAATCAAACCCACATAGATACAACCTTACATATTTAATGCAGTGCATTACCCCTGTAGAAATGGAAAAAAAAATTAACATTTCTAGACCAATGTAGCTGTTAATTTCTGTACAATGCCAACTCAACACAGTAAATTGGGATAACTTTTCCCAAAGTTGATGAAAATGGTCATTATTTACAGAATACTTTATTAGTTTCTGTAATCAAACCCACATAGATACAACCTTACATATTTAATGCAGTGCATTACCCCTGTAGAAATGGAAAAAAAAATTAACATTTCTAGACCAATGTAGCTGTTAATTTCTGTACAATGCCAACTCAACACAGTAAATTGGGATAACTTTTCCCAAAGTTGACAGCACAGTTAAAATTTCCAAAAATATAAATTATATATATATTAATCATCATCTGGAGAGAGAACATTCTAGAGTAACATCATTAAAAATAGCTCTGATAAAGCACAGTCACTACTTCGTATCATAAAGCAGGTACAAGATATTTTACATTCACAGAGGTATGATACAGTACTGTCCTACATCTTGTCATGGAAGTATCTTATTTCCCCATCCATTTTGAAAGAGAGTTTTGCAGGATACATTAGTCTGGGTTGGAGGTTGTTTTCTTTTAGGACTTGAAATACCTCACTCCAGGCTCTCCTTGACCTGAGGGTTTGTGTTGAAAAGTCTGCTGTGATTCTGATGGGCTTTCCTTTGCATGTGATTTGTTTCTTTTCTCTTACTGCTTGTAGTATTTTGTTTCTGTTCAGTTTATGGAATCTTGATTATTATATGTCTAAGTGTAGATTTTTTTTGATCATGGCTAGTTGGAGTCCTATATGCCTCATTTATCTGAATGTCAAATTCTTCCCCTCTGTTTGGGAAGTTTTCTGTCATTAATTCTGTGAACAGCTTTTTTAAGTCATTTGCATTTTCTCCTGGTACTTCATGGATTCCTATCAGTCTTATGTTATTCTTCTTTGCATTATCTAGGAGTTGTTGGATCGACTTCTCATGATCCCTTACTGTTTTTAAGAGAAATCTCTTTTCACGGTCATTGGTTGCTATCCTGTCTTCTATATCTGAGATTCTATCTTCACAATCTTGTATTCTGTTGCGTACACTTTCAATAGAGTTTTTAATCTCCTGGATATCTGTTTGAATCTGTTTTATGGATTCCATTTCTTTCCTATGTTGGGTGTTCATTGTTTCCATTTCTTTCTTATTCTGGGCCTTCATGGCTTCTTTTATGGTCCTGAGCTCATCTATTTTTTTTGTCAGTTTCTGTTCTAGAGTCTTGAATCATGACTTTCATTTTGCTCATCATCTCTATGGTTATCTGGGAAATTCTTTCTGTTTTGAATTTTTCTAGAGCCTGATTGATCTGTTTTGATTCTTCTTGTGCTGTGAGTTCTGAGTGTCCTGGAAGTTCACTATCAGGCTTTTCATCCTCCTTTGCCCTACTGTTTGCCATTGGTGAACTGGTTAAGTTTTTTGTGTCTTGGTTAAGTGTTTTCTCATTTTTAGTTTTGCTGTTGGGTTGTCCTTGATTCAATCTCTGGGTTATTAAGTCTTCCTGATATCATTGCGCTTCAGCCCCCGACTCTCTAATGACTCATAGACATTCTCACTTTCACAATATCAGAGAAAGCAATCAAATCAATCCCCATCCCTTATACCAATCGATACAATCAGCAGCACAACAGGATCAATCACCTCCTGCAAATCAACCACTTGTGGTAGTCTTCAATCCATCACCCCCAATCATGCGAATTAAATTAAAATCAAGAAGCAGCCCAAGATACGTTTGCAGTGAATAAACTCTTCAACATGGTATATTTACTATTTGGGATGTGGGCCTAGACCTAATTAGGACCAGAAGAGTAAACAAGTAAAGGAACTGGAGAAGGTTTCAAGTGAAGCCAGAGGACACAGAATGACCACACAATCTTTAGGAAATGGTAAAACTCAAAAGGGATAGACAGAGTGCAAGTATAAGGACAAGAATATATCCCCTTAACAGCTATAGGGGCTCACTTTCCCTTGAAACTACCGACCTTTTAGTGAGGCTCAATGATGGAAAAAAAAAATAACATTAATAAAAAAGAAAAAATGATAAAAGAAGACATCTGAATTAGGGCAGGAGCAGGAACAGAAAAGGAGGTGAGGGCCAATATGTTAGAGCAAGAGAATGAGTTGGTGATACAGGACAGAAAAAAGAATTTACAGAGTGGAATGAGGAAAAGAAAGAAAAGGACAAAAAAAATGACTTTGAAGAAGGGCCTCTTTCAGACTATATTTCTGCTGTCATAATACACATCGTGTGCAGCCATGTGCATAACCAAATCCCCCTATCTCATCTAGTCACAGGCAGAATCCCGTGACGCAGACTGATCTCAGGCCACAAGGACCAATTTGAGCTCCCCGACCTCCTACAGGGTTGAACTCCAGACAGTTCTATCACAGGTTTCTCCTGCCCCTTCTTTACAGATATTCAAATTTGGGAGCTCAGAAAATCACCCTTTATAACCAGCTACGTCTCTGTGGAGTAGGTCCATGGACTGGCACATTCAGGGGATCTGAGAGCGGGGGTGGGGGGTGGGGGTGGATTTTGGCTTGGCAGCACCCACACAGCTACCCTCCTGGGGCTGGGGCAGTGATGTCGGTGCCCGCAACCTCAGTGACGTCTTACTCATTTCAATTTGGACAAAATGGAAACAGCCATGGTCAATGTTCATGGAAGGGAAGTTTTCTCAGTGGTTAGCGCCCGATCCTGACACCCGGCTGCTGGTGCACTTGCTGTGTGAGCTCAGGCAGGTCCCTTGTTGCAAACAGAGGTAATGTTAGAAGCTTGTCCATAGGACTGATGTGATGACCATGTGGGCCCATACCTAAACACAGGGCTGAACATGCTCATGGCTACATTTTCTTTTCTCTTTTTTCTCTCTTTTTTCTTCCTTTTCTTTTTTCTTTTTTGTACCAGGGATCAAACTTGGGACCTTGTGCTTGTGAGGCAGGCGGTGGAACCACTGAGCTAAATCCCCAGCCCTTTCCTTCTTTCTTTTTTTTGTGGTTGTTGTTGTTGTTGTTTTTTGAGTTTATTGGTACATTTTAGGTATACAGTACAGTTACATTCCAGAAAATCATTGACTACCAATCTTTTGAAGTGTTTCTCCTATTTTCTTCTAGCAGTTCATAGTTTTCAATCCTATACTTAGGTCTTTAGTCCACTTTTAATTTTTTGTTTTGTTTATTTACAAGATGAGAGAAGGGATCAAGTTTCAATTCTCTGCATGTGGATTTCCAGTTTTCCTAGCACCATTTGTTGCAGAGGCTGTCCTTTGTCCAATGTGTACTTTTTTATTTTGTTTTTGTTTGTGTGTTTGTGTGTGTGTGGTGGTGGTTGTGGTGGTGGTGGTGGGGTAATGAGGGCTTTCAGAATGAGCTATACCTGGTGCTTTTTATTATTTTATTTTATACTTTGAGAAAGAGTTCAAGTTGCTAAGTTGACAAGGCTGAGCTCAAACTTAGGATCCTCCAGCCTAGCTTCCTGGAGTGCTGGGGTTATAGTAGTGCACCACCATACCAGGCTTTTCCAATGTACAACCTTAAATGTTTTCACAAATAATTTTTTTGACTAGATATGTGTGGGTTTATTTCTAGAATCTCAATACCATGCTTTGTAGTTTGTCTTGAAGTCAGGTATTGTGATGCCATTGTCTTTGTTCTTTTTGTTCAAGATTACTTTGACTACTCAGACATCTTTGGTTTCCATATGAATTTTCAGATTGTTTTTCCAGTTCTATGAAGAACATCATTGGTATTTTGATGGGGATTGCATTGAATCTGTAGATAGCACTGGTGGTATGGACATTTTAACACTATTCTTCCAATCCACGAACACAAGAGGTCTTTCTATATTTTTGTATGTCATCTTCCTTCATCAGTGTTTTATAACACTAAGGAGCTCCTGCTGAGTGAGCAAGAAAATGGGGCCTGGGGCCTAGGGGTGTAGCTCAGTGGCAGACGGCTTGCCTAGCAGACACAGGTCCTGAGTTTGATCCTCAGCACAGAGGAAAAAGAGGGAAATCAGAAAGATGGTTATAGGGAGGAGGTGGCAGTCTTTGTCACAATGTGTAAAGCTTGTTGAATAGTAGATCAGTGCCTGGCACATAATAAATGCTTATAATGCCACTGTTATAAGCACAGTCCTATAGCCACAATACCAACACTAGGACCTTTCTACCTGAACAAATCTTCAATTTCACAGCGCACATGTCCATGCTGGGGGTACCAGGGGGCTCACAGCTCTAGGCTGCATGCTGTGGGGTATCCCAAGTGGACATGGGGGTGGCTTTAAAAGCGGGTCAGGGGTTTTGCTCAGTTTCTCCAGGTAAATCCCAAGGGAGTGAATGTTAAGGTGACTGATGCAAAGGCGGAGCCCTTCAGGCGCAGTTCTGCAGCTGGTCAGTGCCATTCATGGCCCCATCCCCACATTAAAAAATAAACAACACAACTTGACTGAAATGGAAAAGATCAGCTGTGGCTTCCTCCCCTCCGCAGGCTCTCAGAGGCGGAGGCTCATCCCAGCATTGTCCCTCGACACCTCCTCCCCTGTGAGGAAACCCACTGCTGGTACCGGGGTCCGCTGGGTGGACGGCCCCTTGCGCAGCACCCAGAGGGGCCTCGGGGAGCCTTTTGAGATTAAAGTCTATGAAATCGATGACGTGGAGCGCCTGCAGCGGCGACGTGGGGGCAGCAGCAAGGTGAGCCGCTCCTCCCCGCCTGGGTGGGGGCAGTTCCCCAGCAGGCCCTGCCCTGAGGAAGGGGGCCTGGCCCAGGGGGACATCTCTTCCCAGGCGTAGCTGGTTGGGTGGGCAGGTGGCTGGGGCTCCTGTCCTGGCACAGTGCTCACTGGAAAGAGACTTCGGAGAGCTCTGTTTCCGTTCCTGGAACACCTTAGGGCTATTTGTGACCCCATTTGGGGACCTTCTCTGGCTTCTTGTCATGAGATTTCTCCCCCAGTACAGACCATCACTAGCACACCGTGGAACCCTCTCTGCTTGAATGGAAGAATCACTCACCCTGGTCTCCCCTGCGGCTGGGTTGTCCGATCTGCAGAGGCAGAAACTGGGCCAGGAGGACCAGCTCCTTTTCCTGACTGTGCCCAAAAGCGTGCCCGTCTGGAGGAGTTGGGCTCTCCTTTCTTATCACCACCACCGTCTCCCTCTCCATCCCTGTGCAGGAGGTCGTGTGCTTCAACGCAAAGCTGAAGATTCTGGAACATCGGCAGCAGAGAATCGCCGAGGTTCGTGCCAAGTACGAGTGGCTGATGAAGGAGCTGGAGGCGACCAAACAGTACCTGATGCTGGACCCCAACAAATGGCTCCGTGAATGTAAGGCCGGGCCCAGGTGACACAGACCGGGGCTGACCTGGGTGACACTGAGCAGACTATCTGCATCTGAGGGCAGCACGTGGAGAGGGTGACACCCGGGAGCCGTGCTGCTTTCCCCAGGAGGCGGGTGGGCTGCTCAGGAAGGGGTGGCAGGTAGAGCTTATGCTAGATTAGTTCTGATAGATTTCAGTCCACAACCAGAAAATGAGATTCTCCCCACACTTCTCTGCACATGGCAAAAGATGACCCAGACACAAGACTGATTTCAAATGTCCCAGGCCACACAGTCACACCGCTCATCTGTCCTGGAATAGACGAGTATTTATAGAGCCAGCTGGAGGCGGCCTCACGGAGGACACAGGAAGCGAGAGGGGCAGTCCGGTGTTATTTCCACTTAATAGGAACCTCAGGGTGACAGTAACCATCTAGTAACTATTCAGGACAATTTTGCTGTCTCTGAGACCATCTGCTACCAAATAAAACTTAAATCTGGTTCCAGCTGTTAAACTCGTATGGGGACCAGAGCTGGAAGATTTAGTCTGTGCCACACATGAGTGTCATTAAAAGCCCTCTCCCTCCTGTCCCATGCAGCTCCTCCTACAGCCACCTCTGGCCCCTCTTATAATGCTCCTCCCTTGCATGTCACCCTTTCTTCGTGTCTACCCTCTGGGAAGAGCCCATAGGTGGAAGCTGGAGGCTTAGATTTGTGTTCCAAAGTAGCTGCTTAAAAGAAAGAACACTGGGTAAAATCTGGGTATAGTAGTGCATGCCTGTAATCCCAGCACTCTGGGAGGCTGAGGCAGGAGGATGGCAAGTTTGAACCCAAATCTGCAATTTAGTAAGAACCTGTCTGAAAATAAAAAATAAAAGGCTGCAGATGTAGATTAGTGTAAAGGCCCTGGGTTCAATTTTTTTTTAAATGGGTAAAATGACAGTAGGTGAGGAGGAAGAAAGTGTCAGAATCTGTCAGCCTCCCACTATTCCCAGCCACTTTCAACAACCTGTCTTCTAGCACTTCCTTTTCTGTGGGAAAGAGATAATAACATCTCCCTTACGTACCTCCGTGAGTTATTCTGACTGTAGTCCACCTGCAAGGCCACGTACTTGTGGTTATGCTCAGGCCTATGGAGCTCTTTCGGGCCCTGGTTTTCCCGTATACAGCACAAGCTTTGTGTCCTTAGGTAAGGGGCTTTAACCCTGCTGAATCTTGATTTCCTTAACACTAAGATGGAAAAAATAACTGCCTATTTCATGGGGTGGTTATAAGTAGCAAGGAATTACTACAGAATCGGTCAGGTGCTTATCATCCCGCTTGGCCCGTGGGGAGAGCCCAACACCTGGTGGTAATTATTACCATTACCCCTGCTCAACTAAGTAGGTGATCCCTACAGAGGCACTTCCTTGGGGCCCATTCCCGATCCATTGTCCAGTTCTCTGCTGGAGGTTTGGACAAAGTGTGAATTCTACCCCAAAGATTTCTGTACCCGTGCTGACGAACTGACAGGACCAGAACAAGGGACTTCAGCTAACATCTGCCCAAGGCATAAGCACAGAGCCTGTGCTTCCTTTCCCACCATCTGTGGACCCCTTTCCTTCTGCCATGAGCCCCTGGACACTTCAAGATCCCAGGGCATCCTGTCAGGCAGCCCCTTCATTTTTACCATTTTCATTAAAATTCAATTTTTCAAGAGCTCTTAATGCCCAAAGGGGGGCCAGAGAATTATCTTCATCTTTCAAAGTCACTGTACTTCTCTGGGATGGGAACATACTTAGGCATCAGGACGCATGTGTTTTAGATGTTCTCAGGAAACAGTTGCCTTCTTGCCTTTGTACACGTCAAGAAACAGTGCTGTTTGATGCTGAGAAAGAGAATGTACAGAAAGCTACATGAAAGGGGAACTACAGATTGTTTAAGATGAATTGAAAACAAGAATGGATTAAAAAAAATAACCCAGGAAGCTGCACACTGACTACTCCCTATGGGAAACAGGCAGGGTATTGGCACAGGAACTGGTGTGCTGGGATCCATTTTTATTTTTGTTTTAACTCTGCTGCCCCTTTTGAGCCAGTCCAGTGATCCTGCCTGCTGTGACTAGGGCATGGTAGGGTTTGTTTTTTAATTATTACACCAGTATTTGGAGAGCCCTGGCCTCCTTTGGCTCTGCTCCTTATTAACAGTGCAGCCTTGGAGCAGGATCCTTGCTGTCTCGAGCGCGTCCATGAGGAAGCCCTCTCCACCAGGCTCGGGAGCTTCTGTAGCGTGTCACAGTTTTCAAGCCAGGTTCCTGTTCCTAAGCTCTGTTTGCATCTGACGGTAACTCAAGGTGGATAGGATAGAAGGATAGGAACTTTCATAGTCACTTGTAGGAAATGGTGCTGCCAGAGACTGAGGTCATGGAGCTACGGGAGTCACATGCCAGTCTCCTGCCTTGGACCCCAAGGCCATCCTTGCTCCCCTTGACTGATGTCCATGCTGCCCTTCTCATGTAGGACCAGTGACTGCCAGTCCAGCCACCCTGCGACCAAGCAGGGGACTGACTGAAAGGGCTGACCCTGGATCCCTGTTCTTCGGTGACTGGAGGATGCAGACTTCTCACCCCGCATAGGCCTCAGTGCCGGGCGAGGCATCCATTCAGCAGTCAGCTTTTTGTCCACAGGGAGGATTTTAATCCAGAGCTTGTTTATGGTCAGATTCCCTGAATGACTGGCGTATATGAGACCACACCAGGAAATGCCAAGCGACTGGGTCAGGATCCTTGCTCTGAGAGGCAGCTGCAGGTGGCGCGTGAGGAATGAGGAGAGGGAGGAACATCCTTTACCCACGGGGCAGGCTATACCTGTCACTCTGGTGAGACCCCAGAAAGGGCAGCTTGAAGACCTACTTCTTGGGCGAAGAAGGAGGATGCTGTGATGATCTTGCACAGATCCTGGGGTGGAGAAGGCTGGAGGTGGGGCCGGTAAGGATGTCCCCTCATTCCCCAGAACAGTCCCAACAAAACATTAAGGATCTAAGAACTGGTAACCGAGGTTCCCTTCCCCGTCCCACAGGCCGAGGATCAGGCGAGGAGGAGGGAACCCGAGGCCCTAAAGTGGACACAACCAGGCGGGGCTGGGAGAAGTAGGCATGGTCCTGACGCTCCTCCGCTCTCTTGCAGTTGACTTGGAGCAGGTTTTGGAGCTGGATTCCCTGGAGTACCTGGAGGCGCTGGAGTGTGTGACCGAGCGCCTGGAGAGCCGCGTCAACTTCTGCAAGGCGCATCTCATGATGATCACCTGCTTCGACATCACCTCCAGGCGCCGATAAGGAGAGGCGGGGCTCCGCCCGCTGGTCCCCTCCCGGGACCTCAGAGAGAGGGCGCCCTGGCCCGGGCCTCCTATGCTGGCGGCACCCAGAGACGATAGGATGAGGATGAAGGTCGGTGGCAAGTCTGGAGTGAGGGGTGAGCGGAAGGCGGTTTTTCCTTTGTGTTCGGTAGGGAAGGTGCAAACACCAAACGCGTGGAAGGAGAAAGTGACAGGAAAGCCAAGGGATGTGGAAGCCCCGTGAGACTGAAGCAGCACTTTGAGGAACTTGGAAGAACTCATTTGTACATAAGAACTGCGAGCGGAGACCTCACTCTTGTCTTGCTTTGGTGAGAAGGGGGAGGGTGGGTGCAGCATGGCTGCCGATGGCAAAACAAAACGATAACGACGAGATGACCCTGAATGACAGATTAAGTGCCTTGCAAATCTTTATGATTATCCAAACGTTTATGTTCATACTTTGTGTACAGATGGTGCTAGTCGAGATGGAAATAGCAAAACCAACGAAAAAGAAAATCCAACACATTTTTGCAGTGCTAAGTGTTTTATCCTGTCGCTCACTTGCTGTTTCTAAGCAAGTTGTGTTTGTAGAGATATTTCCTAATCAGTATTGCGTATGAATAAATGTCACTTGTCTTTTATGGTTATTCTGGTAAGGCCACTCAAACAGAACCCAGAGACTTCGTCTGCACCAGCCAGCGTGTTTCCAAAGAAGGTTTAGAACAGCGGGGGAAGCTGGGCGCCACCTCCGAAGGCAGCAGGACAGCGAGCAGCCTGGACACCCACGGTGGAGCAGGTGCCCCTGAGCTTTAGTGGCCGGAGAGGAGCCAGTTTGCATCCTTAAGGGGAAGGTTGTCCTTTGTCAGCTGGGTGCCCCTTCTCCTCAGAAGTGGGCTGTTTATTCTCATTTCCCCTCCCATCCAGGGTCTGACGATTCTCAAAACGTGTTTTTGTTCCTTTCTTTTCAAAGACTCTGAATGGAAAGCTTGAGCCAACTCAGCACAGCCATATTTCTTTGTTTTCAAGTTCTAGTGGGGGTGGGGGCTCTTCGTTTAGAGACCTTCTTGGCTTGGACCTGCTCAGAGGCTCTGATGGCATTGGTTTAGAACGAGGAGGGGGCCTGGGACTGCACAGCTTTTCTGTTATCCAGAGTCCTGCCTGAAAGCAAGATCACTTTTCCCTGGGCCAAAGCCTATGTGCTACCCAGGGACAAAGCTGGTTCCTGTAGCTGTGGCTCTCGAAGGCGGAGAGGCTTCCTCCCTAGTCCCGATGGGTAGAGCAGCAGCACATGAATCCTGATGTCCAGGTCTTGGCTCCTCATTCTCCAGTTACAGCAGCTGCCTCAGGAGTGTTCTGTCCTGTTACGGATAGAAACTCGAGGCCAGAGTGGTCACCCGCATCCCCTGGTAACAGCGACTGCAGCAGAGCATTGTGGGGAAGACCAGGAGTGCTCCTGTCCTTGGGACAGGGACCTCAGAGCCTGTGCAGCCTTCCGGTGAGTGACACAGTGTTCCAGGAGCGCGCACAGAGCACCGCTCACCTCTGCCCTCAGACACGCACACCTCCCAACCCCGTGCCAGGCTAGGCCTCCCCGCCACCAGCGCTCCCCTCACCTGCTCCCCAGGAAGAAGAATCTTTGCACGTCTCCACTGTACCTCTCGACACACGGAGCCCAGCACAGCTGACCAAACAGCCGGTGGGGCTTAGCTAGACTCGGTTGGTGGGAACGCAAGGCTTGTGAGTGTCGCGGGACTGGTCCTGCCGGCTTGCTTTGGAAGTCAGCCCCGTGGATCAGAATTTGACTGTGCTCAGTCTAAAAAGGCCTGCTTCTACACAAAGGTGGCCATGTAAGAGATGCTCACATTGCTCTCAAGTGAACTAAAATGTGCTCAAAGGCTACTCTGGAATGGATCTTGTCTCCCTCTCCGCATACCACAAGCTTAACCAGTATGTTGCCTTGGACAACTCCCCTCAACCCCAAGGAACAGTTCTGGAATTCTGTGCCCGCCTCTGGCCTCACAGTATGTGCATGCACGTGTTTGCTTAAAAGCAGTATGCTTGGAAGCTTCTGGACCCAAGGAAATGCCAACCCTTCAAGGCTGAGTTTACCATCTGGCCTTGGACTGTGCTGCTTTATGAAAAGCCTTATTTGGGGAAATGTTCAAGATGAGTATGCCTTGGCTTTTGTTGGAAACAAATTCACTTGATTAGTACATGATCTGTGAGCTTGGCCTTTGCCCCTGCCACCTTCTCCCTCAGCCCTGAGGCTATCAAGCAGCAGCGGCTTCCTTAACGGGCCACTGGAGTGTGACCAAGTGGAAACATCTACAGAGATTGGAGACCTCAGACAGTGAAAGCTCTCCTGGGGTAGTGGCCAGTCCCTGCTTTCCACGTACCTCTGCTTGAACACATTTGTGGCAACTTTATGATACAACAACAAAAGATTAAATGACATGAAGAATTGCCTTACCAAGTCAGATTGGCTTCCCAAGAGGCCAATCATGGAAGATCCACAGAGTACTGCAAGCCTTGGTGTACAGTTGTAAGTGGGTGTTGTCCTGATTTCCCTTTTCTTTCTTTTTTTTTTTTTTTGAACCTAAGTTATCTGCAAACATCTTAATTTGCCAAATATTGATAAACCATGTGAAGAAACCAAGCATTTTATGACATCATGTACTTGTTCCTGGCACTGTTAAGGGACTATATAAACGATGGTCTTGAAACACAAAGATGTGGGTGCAGCCAGCTATTCTGAAGCTGTCCTAGGAAGTGGAGAATGCCTCACCATGTCCAGATGTGCGATGGCTGCAGGTCTCCTGTTGGTTTTGGTGACAGATAAGCCACAAAGGCAAAGGGAACATCTAAGAACTCATTTCTATCCCATTATCCACAAATGAAAGGACCGTAAAGATATTTCTTTGAAATTAGCATTCAGATGAGTGGGTCTTACTTAATTCCTTGTCTGAAACCTGCCCCCAGCCCCTGCCCCTGCTCCAGCTAGTCAGTCTGAGGCAGAAGCGTTAGCAGCACAGCAAAACTAAGATCCAAGACAGGGAAATGAGACAGTGTTTCCCCAGGAGTAAATTCATACTGCATTTCATAATGGCGTCTCGTGCTGCGAGGGGACGACAGTTTGCTTTATTCCAGGCTTTCAATCCTCACCCGAGAGCTGGAACCTTTGATCTTGTCCTTGAATTTCCCTGGACATCACAGGGTCGCGCTCTCTCACTTTCATCTTTTCCAGACTGGAAATCAGCGACCCTGCCTGTTGTTTTATCTCTAATTGCTCTTCTGAACGTAGGGAACATGAGATGCAAATGCAAAGGTGGGTTCCGTGGTGACAGAGGTAGGACTCAAACAAGGACCCCAAGCAGGAAAGTGTCCTCAACAGGAGAAAAAAATCATACAGCCCAGTGTGGGGAATTTGGTGGCAGGAATTTGGCTCAGTGTCGTAAATGCGCCTGCAGTTTGAAGTCTGCTGTGCAGGAAGGTGGTGGGGACTTGAAGGCAGCCACATCTGCTCTCCAGAGTGTTTCCAAAAGTCCTGTGCTCCCTGCATGGATTTCCGCTCAAGTGTTACAAAAGGAATGCCCGTGTGCCCACATGGGTGTGTGTCTCATGTTCTTATCAAACAGCCACATTGTGGGGCTTCCAATTGTAATGCACACATCACTCTGTTCAAAATCAGGGCCCTGAACTTGACTCAGGATAGAAGGCCAGGACTGCAGAAGCCCACAGTTCATGGCGCGTACGCTGTTGCTGGTGTTGTGGGCTAGTGTTGATTTGTCATTGAGCCTTCCAAAATAATGACGCAGTGAATGTTTTCAGGTTCTTTATTCCATCAGGGATTCCTACAGATGAGTTCATTTCAAAATTGGAAACAGAAGATTCTGTGAATTTAGTTGTTCTTTCCTGTTCAAAAATTATCAGCCCATTGTAGGCATATGCAAAAACATATCCTCATTTTTGAAGGCAGTATTTCTAAACCCTGAAACCAGGCCAGGCCAAAACAGGATGGAGGTCCTGGGGTTACTGGTGGATCTTGATGGAGCCGTCCACCGCCATTGTCCCCGGGGCCTCTCTGTTGCCATCCGCAGTGTAACCCAGCTTCCCATAGTGTGAGGGACACTGCTGTAGGCACTGTTCTCCATGCCAAATGAGACAAAGCTGGGCTCTTGGTTTCACTGATGCTGCCAGGAAATGAGTTTAAAATATTTTTTTGCCAGATAGTAGAAATACAGCGTTCCTTTAGATTATAGTATCTCCCCCACCCCCTGGAAGGTATCCCTCACCACATGTGGGTAAAAATTCATAAAGTATCACTTTGCAGTCTTCCTGACAAAATAGTATGCTTCTCAATTACAAACTGTTCATTATTTCCACAATAATGAAAGCAGCATTCCAACCCAGGGTAAGCTAGTAAAATGTAAGCTTCCAGCTCCAGAAAAAGTTGTTTGAACATTCCTAAGAGCTAATTTATTCATCCCTAAACAAACACACTCTGCTTTTGGGTGGCCTTACTCAGAACTGGATCTGAGGCTGTGTCAAGACTTCACTCATCTAATTAACAGTCTGCATGACAGCCAGTCCCAGTGTCCACATGTGTAGAAACCGGGGTGTAGACAGAAGTATAAGAGCCTCATCCCTTCATTTCCCACACTGTCCTGTTCAATTTACAAAGTTATCATTTATTTGCAAACTCTGGCGGTTGCTTTATTTATCACACTGCCAGTGGTGGCGAGCCTGCAGCACACTAACTGCAGTGGGCTATTTGTACCGTTGGAAACTCGGAAAGGTTCGCTGGCACTGTTTTCGAGTTTATTTATACTTCATGGTTGATGGTTGGAAATGTTCTCCATATGCTGTGTATTCAAGTGAGCTTCTTAGAGCTGTCTGTGTCCATGTTTTTTCTGTTTTTCTCACTCTATCAGAGTCTGTTAGCACAGAAATGGGCCAAGGGGAGGGGAGGATAAGTAAATCAGGAGAGCAGGGACTAGAGTCCAGTTCTCAAAGTACAGAGCTTAGTGCAAAATCTCAGCTGTTTCTATAGTAAGTAGCCAAAGGGGAAAAGATCTTTCCCTTTGAATTTGACTATATTGAGCTTGGAAATCAGCTTCCACAGGCCTGGGTGGGAGAGAATCCAGCTTCTCCCTACTGATTCAAACACTACATTCCCTCAAAAAGTGCTGCAGTATCACTGCGTCCCTACATTTCTGCAAGATCCTGACACCACTGAAGGGGGCCGGGCAGGTGGCTGGAGGTCCTTGCCTTGGGTGTATATCATAGCTGAGGTTTTTCTGGAGAAGCCCACGCACTTTAGTGAGTCTTACAGCCAGTAACACTGTAATACTTAGGGCATCTTGTCCCCTCAGCAGATCCACCAGGCATCGGGCTTGGGACCAGGAGATTCATCGGAGAGGTGGCTAAAACCAGGAGGAAAACCCTTGGGCTGGAAGTGAGGAGCCCAGGTGCTGGCCTGACTCTGGCTCCATCACTAGCTGTGAGACCCTGGACAGGTGGCTTCATTCTGCTGGGCCTCGGGCTCCCAGGGGAAGGTTGGGGCCATAAAGCTGCCTGCCTCTCTGGGGCAGTATCAAGAGATAAAAGATGGTGGGAGAGACGTGCTTCAAAGAAATGAAAGCCCTCTTTGGGAGGGGGGAGATCCATTGAGAGATGAAGAAACGAATGTCAACAGTCATCAACTGATCTGCCCAAATTCGTAGGGTAGTTTCACAGCAGAACTGGGACTCGAGTCCAGCATCCTGGGCTCTTCTCATTAGTAAGATGGCATTGCACCACGTGTGTGTACATATGTGGATGTGTGTGTACAGGTGTGTGACACGAAGAGCATGGGACGGAAAACCTGAGTTCTAATTCCAGTTTCTACAGTAGACCTATTAGGACCTGGGATAAATTACCAGATACTTTGAACTCGGTTTCCTAATCTGTAAAATGAGGACATTGCGCTAAAGGACCTCTCTGGTCCCTTCAAGCTCTCGCTCTATGGTTCCATGATTAGTAATGTATGTATGTATGTATATATAAATATGCTTATCTGTAGAAATGGGCCCATTTGAAAACTGGAGACAAAGCCTGCCCAAGTGCATTTATTATGTTGACAACAGTGAATTCAAAAACAAGTTCATAAAATCTTGTTTAAAAAAAAGTCAATGGTAGTATTGATATCATTGTTTTAAATTCACTGTTTAAATTCACTGTTCATTGTTTTAAATTCACTGGAAGATTGGTGCTGTTTTTAAAATTAAATTCTTAGCTCACAAGTGTTTGCTGTTAAAATTTTTTTAAAAAATAAAGTCCATTTGTCATGGTCAGAAATTCAACTATCCCGTTCTTGGGCAGACTCCAGCAGCCTGTCTGCAGGCTGGACTTTGTGTACGGGCCTTTACATAGCTATGTAAAAGTAAGCCGTTGGCTTGGTCATAATAAATATGAGCAGACTACCCAGGGAACAGTCTGGAAAAGAGAATTGTGTAGTTCTCACAACTGGTGACATGAATTCATTCAGCTGTGTCCCATTTCCCATGTGAAGACATTGTTTGCTGGCTACGATCTCTGACTTTTTGTGGCATATGAGGTGTAAAATGTTGTCAAAAAAAAAAAGAGAATCTGGTGTTTAAAAGAATCAAATTATGGTGGCATTAAATGTTCACTTTTATTCTAGCTGGAGCCATGAATTCCTCTGTATCCTGTTTGTCCTTCTGTACACAGGGGAAGTAATTCCAGGCCTAGGGAGGGGTCCTCTCATTCTATCGACACCTTGTCCCGAGTCCACCTCCAGGCGCACCAGGACGTACTGACCCTGAGGCCTTCTGGTCCCCCTGTGGCACTGGCCTCCAGAAAGGCCAGAAAGCACAGCCTAGAGTGGGTGGAGGCGGGGCTGAGCCCCTGCGATTGTCCAGTGCTTCCCAGAGTCCACGCTGGCTGGTGGCCACATATGAAAAACTCGCTGTCAGTATTTTGGTGGCTTTAAGATTCTCCCTCAGCCCAGTGTCTCTGAAGCTCACACAATCATTGCACATGGCTTGGGCATGGACTTGCGGGCTCTTTGGTACATGAGAGATTGTCTCAGCTGTATCGGGCACATTCCAGAAAGATCAGGCTGCGACAAACGCCTTATAGGGTAGCACCTGCCGGTCCCTTCCGTGGCAGACATTTCCCCTGAGCAGGGAAGCACCTTGCTAGATGCTGGCACCACATCCATCCAATCGCCCGAGTGCACCACAGTCCCAACGGACAGGGCTGGGTGGCCACTGGAAGCAGACACACTCTTGCTCCTTGGAAGGTGCCCTCTGGACTTGTCTCCTGTCCCACTGAGCTGGCCTGACGTGTGCACCTCCCAGGCTTCCTGCTGTTCTCCCCAAATCTCCAACAAGACCTTCACGGGCTCCCTTTGGGTCACCCGAGCTGAATCTAGCATTAATGAAGCCACAGGGCTTCCTGGAAACAATACCGTCAGCCAGAGATCGAGTAGATGTGCTACCTGCTGCATCATGGCCTTGGGAGAAGGAGAACACAGGACAGCATCCAGAACCGTTTCCTGTCCCTTCGTGTCTCTGTCTTCAGTTCTCCACAGTGCCAGTGGGGCTGTGATACCACCTTGTCCTTGGTCCACACCAGGGTCTGTGCCTTTGGAGGGGCTGGTGGGAGGGCATGTGTGGTCATCAGAAGGAGCTTCTTACTGGGCAACAACTCCAGGGCACACATACAATCTCAGACGTGTCACATACGATCTCAGGCACGTCCATCTCTCAAAGTATTACACTCTCAAGGCTGCCAAGTATTTCCTTCCTCTCATCCTTTTTGGTCCTGTTCTTTGGTCTCAAGGAGGATGTTAACCAATCTTTCTGTGACCATTCTGCCTACTCTGGTACCACAGTGCCCTCAGCCAGACACCCCAGGACTGGGAGGTCAAAATAAAAAGCAAAGGTGCCACTCGGGTCGGGCAGTAGCATCTCAGGCCGTTCCTGCGCCTGGTGGGGGCATCTGCCTCTGCACGGTGGAGTTGCTCCTGGAAGAACCTAATAAATGTGCAGAGTGCTAGGGATCTGTCAGTGGCATGGTGCCAAGAGTGTCACCTGTTCCATATCCAGGCTTCTAGAGCCAACCAACATTAGCTATGAATCAGTCAGTGCGGGACAAGAAGCCACAGAAAAGTCCAGGCAGGAGTCTGCCCAAATCTCAGCCTCCCTTGACGAAACAACCACTGCAATTATGAATCCCCTGCTGGGACAAACACCCCAATTCACAAGGAAGGAGGAGCATCGACTCCACCCAGGGCCGAGCCCACACATAGCTTGTGCTCCCAGCCACTGTCAAGCACGTGACTGCAGGAGAGGACAAGCACAGTGTCCTGCATTTGGATTCCTGCGGACATTCGTGAGGCCATCACCGAAGGAGCCTTTGGTGAACACGTGCTCTGTCCCAGACACATCTGCTCACTGCTGAATGAAACAAATCCTTTGCTCATGAGCCCTGCCTGGCTGCACACAGAAACCGGCTGCAAACCAGCAAAGCCAGGGCTCCCCTCGATGGGGCCCCGGGATGCCACCTGCCCCAACACGGGCTTCCTCCCTTTCAATTTGGGTCCTTGACCAGGCCTCACCTCCAGAAGTCTCCACGGTGCACAGCTGAGATGAGTAGGAGTGGGAAGGCGGGGAGAATGAGTGGAGGTCACCTGCTAGGGGAGGCGGCCAGAGGCCACCACCACGCCGCCCCCAGCAGAAGCTGCACAGAGTGTAAGCGGTGTATTGTCCCTGTCGTCTTTCACTTTTAAGTTATTAAATTCCCCCTGCTCAGTTCATCCTCCGTGCTCTTTCCCTCCCCAGCGGTCCCAAGGTCCACGTGTGTAAATGGCACACGTGGCCTATGCTCAGAAGACCACGCAACACAAGGCTTTGCCAGCATCCCATGAGGCCCTAGGTTCCCCAAGACCCAGTGGGAGGACAATAGGCCCTTTTATCTTTAAACTGGACTTTGAAAAGCTAGAAATAGAAATAAAAACTACCTTTAATGTTACTCCAGAGCGAAACATACACACACATTCTTTCACAACTTTTGGATCATTCCCTTTTGGAATCTTTCCCCCTTAGGAACCCTTCCACGCCTACTTATTTTCCTGCCAGTGCACAGCTCAGACTCGGTGACTACAATGGCCAGGGGATACTGCGTTCTGGTGAGGGAATTACAATTTCCACACCGCCGATCCCTGCCATGGGACCTTAAGATTGCTTCTGGTTTTTCACTATTATCACTTACACCACAACATGTGAACAGGAATCTCTTTTTTACTTCTCTGACACATCCCCAAGGATAAACTCCTAGAAGTAAAACAGCTGTAACTGAAGGAATAAAACATCACAGGCCATTTCTATAGGGCATTTTACTCACATTGAGCACCGTGCTTCCTGCTGTCCAACCTGAATGTTACTAGGTAGCCCGCGATGTCCCTTCCTCTCTAAACTTCCGTTTCATTGATTCACTTATCTATTTCATTCCACAAATGCTGGGTCAGGGCTCTTCCTATTACCCGTTACACCAAGATCCCAGTGCGTAACCCTTTGTACTTCATACAGGGCCTGTGTATCTACCCACAGATACTCAGCTTGAGGAAAGAAAAAGGTGTATGGCCGTCTACAACACTGGATTAAGATACAGAGGGTTGGGCCGGGGATTTAGCTCAGTGGTGCTGCCGCCTGCCTCGCAAGTGCAAGGACCCAAATTCGATCCCTGGTACAAAAAAAAAAAAAAAAAAAAAGGGTTTAGGCAATGCTATCAAAGGAAGGGAGTATTTTTGAAGGAGGCGTTCTGGGGGCTGAACCCAGAGTCTTCACACATCTACACTCCCAGGCCCCCCTTTTATTTAAAATTTGAAACCCAGTTTCACTAAGATGCCCATCCCGGGCTCAGACTTGCCATCTCCTGCCTCAGCCTCCCAGAGTGTTGAAATTGCAGGCATGCTCACTGTGCCCCGCTCGAAGGGGAGCCTGACACACAGAGGAAGGATGCATTTTCTTGGAGCTGCCCTGGGGGTTCTGAGCCCATCTCCACCCCTGAAGACTTGTGGCTCAGGAGTCCTGAAGACGGGGAGTGCCGGTGACTGAGTCACTGAGCATCTCCGGACTCCAGGCCCTCCCCGGTGTAGGGGAGGCAAAGCCGCTCCTTCCTGCCCAGCTTCCCTGGGTTGTGACCAAGGATGCATGGAGGTACAGCATGACCCAGCGAGCCCTTAACAGATGCAAGAGAGCTGTGTGTTAGCCTCTTGATGCTGCTACAACAGCACACAATTGACTGTGTAATTTTCGGGCTAAAGAACATATTTGGCCCAAAGTTCTGAGGTGGAAGTCGAAGGGCATGGTGCAGGCATCTGGGATGGGAGGTAATCTCCTGGCAGAAGGCAGAGAGGACCTAATTGGGCAAGAGAGCAGGGATTCGGTGACACATCTACATCTGTGAGCACCCAGGCTGCTCTGTGTGCTGGGAGGAGCCCCTGTCTGTCCCGGGCATGTGGAGGGGCAGCTGCAGGGGAGCCTGCTGTGATGGCAGAAGGAGCCGTTACCCAGCAACTGGAGGGCGCACCTGGCCCAACAAAGCAGTGGGCCTAGAACCCAGCTCCAGGGGTCACAGATGCCCCCCTTGCTGGCTTCCTACACCTGCCTCTTCCAAGGGTGCCAGCACCTGTCAGGACTTTCAGCTCAACCACATTTCCTGCTCCTCTTGTTTTACCAAGAAGAACCATTTCTAGATTCCTTACGAACTGGTTCATGGGAAGAGTCCCATGAATTGGCTCACTGACTCCATAACAAGCAGCTGGGATAACTGATTTACAAAAAGAAAGATCTATTTTGGCTCACAGACTTGATACTTCCAGATCTGTTGCTTCTGGGCCTCTGGCAAGGTGGCGCATCATGGCGGGAGAGTGTGGTGGAGAAGAGCTGCTCACCTCATGGCCAAGATGCAAAAAGAAGAAGAGGGAGAGACTGGGATGCCACTGCATGCTATCCCTGTCCAGGGCATACCCCTAGTTACCTGAAGACCTTCCCCTACGCCCCGCCTCTCAAAGGCCTACACCTCCCAGCAGTGTGGTGGAAACCCAGCTCATACTCACTTTCTCGTAACTAGGATAAAATTCTGACACCCATACCTTCAAGATGTTTTAGCTCATGTTTTCAGTCCATGGTCATCTGGCTCCGAGGCAGAAATGGTAAGATGGAAGGGTCTGGGCAGAGGGAAGCTATTTATATCATGGGGGCCAGGAAGTAAAGAGTAAAGGGAGGACCAAGGAGGGAGTTAGATCCTTCCAGGTCATGCCCCCAATGACCTACCTACTTGGACCTGACCCCACCTTCTATCAGCACAGATAGTAATAAACTCTTCAGTGCCCTAATCCATTGATGAGTATAGTGCCTCTGTGATACAATCACTTTCCAAAAGCCAAACAAAAGCTGAACACATCAGGCTTTGGGGGACATTCTAGATATAAACCCTAACATTCCATCCCTGACCCCAAAAGACTCACATTCATCTCTTTATAAAAAATGTATTTACTCCATCTCTGAGTCATTGAAGGCTTAACAGTTCCTGCTTTACTAAAAAGTCCAAATACAAAGTCTTATCTAAGTCTCAAGGTAAACTCTTAACTGTGAGTAAAAAGAAAGTTTTGGCTTACAATGGCACAGAACAAGCATTCCAATTCCAAAGGGAAGGATTATGGAGGTAAAAAGAAATCAGATGAAAGCAAGAACAAAACCAAAAAGGGTAAAC